TTTGGAGTAAAAACATGTTATTAAATGTGGTATTTTCACATGCTTTCAGATGGAGCAGCATTTACTACACAGAGCCGTAGATCACTGACAAGCTACGCAAAATCGCGTTCAAAATCGCAGGCAATTCATTGCGATTTTGAACGCGATTTTGCGTAGCTTGTCAGTGATCTACGGCTCTGTGTAGTAAATGCTGCTCCATCTGAAAGCACGTGCTGGAGATTTACTACTAAACACAGAACTGGCTTTACTGACGAGATGCGCATGAAAATCACATTCGATTATTTGCACAGCCCTAGTGAGCATACACAAATAAAAGGAGACCCTTTACAGATTCAAGTGATGTATTACTTTTATGTGTCCAATCAAAAGTGACGGAGCATTTTAAGTTCTTTTTTCTGTCATCTGGAAAATATGCAAGTGCTCCCGCCGGTGTCTTTGCTGACCCCAGGCGGTTAAATAATGTAGGATGGGACTTCCTACAATTCCCTGAATTGTGAAAAATGGTCTCTGACAGGTGGTTGTAGCGGAGGGGCTAAAAAAATATAAACGCTCTTGATGAAAAGTTAATGTAATGTAATTGAATTGAATTAAATGGAGTCAACTTTTATATCATGGTGGAGATAAAAGTATCTATCTAGTGCTGTCAGGAATTTTTATTGACCAGCTTCTTTGTCTCAGGGGTACTGTGGAGCTGGTAACATCCCCTTCAACCACTATGCAGAATCAGTGATCTCCTCAGAGCTTAGACTTCATCATGGACACTGAGGATCTCCCTGCAAACAATGCGCCACTCACCGTCAATGAACAGGTATTCCTGAGTCAAGTCATAATTCCCATACTATTCTCACTACTTGCATGAAGTGTTACCAAAACACAGATGTACCTTAACATTTCATCACATGTCCAGCCTCATGCCCCACATGTGTGAGTGTTCAGTCTACGTTCACAGCACAAGCAATTCTTTTTTGGTGGTGAGGTGTTTGCAGAAAGCATTGCTTATGCCGATTTTTGGGCAGACGCTCTCGTTTGTTTGCTGTACTCATGTCACTTGTGTCCTTGTTGGGTTGGTTCTTTGTGTCCTAACGTGTGCTTGGCATCTCTGTTCTCTTTAGCCATTCACTGTCTGACTGCAGAAGTGTTTTCTCAGCTTTTAGGTTCCTGCACTTTGAAATTCCCAGCACAAGACGACCAGGTATGCATCTTCTCCTGAGTCTGTACTGCTCTCTGTGCTGCGCTGAGCTTCCCTCTCTGCCTGAGCCCTGCATTTGCTCCTGTGATGTTTCTCTGATCTTGACTGAAACATGATTGAGGAATGTTCTTAATAAAAAGCTTAATAAAAATCAGACATTAAGCTGAGCAAAAGCTTCAAAACTGCATCATGCTATATTATAATACACTTCCATTTAAAAGTTGCATTTGTTTGATACAGTAACAAGAGTAATATTGTGACATATTTACAATTTTAAATACAATTTCAATTTAAAATAGCTGCTTTTTATTTTAACATATTTTAAAATTAGTCCTGTCAATAGATAAAAAAAATTAAATAATCATATTTTTTTTTTCTGAAATTAATCGTGATGAATCCCACCTAACATTAAAGTTAAATATACTTTTATATTGCAATAATTTCACATTCAATCTTTAAATTAATGTAGAAACAACATAAAGACAGTATATTTTTAATATTTGTTTAATGGCATCTTTTTTATGACTGAAGGCGAGTATCACTGATACCAATACTACTGAAGTCTCTAAGAAATAGTTTTTTCCCCCCTAATATTTAACCATTGACTATAGTGCTACCAAAAATATATTTGCATTGTTTTAAGGGTAAGTTTAGGGTAAGAGTAGGTATGGACGGGTAGGGGTAGGTATGGACATTAAAAAAAAGCCTCAAACCACATGAATAAGATGCTGGTAGCACAATTTGACACATAGCATTTTTCGCTATCGATTTGTGCTACCTATCTTTTTAATGGGAGGTAGCACAAACTGCACAATCTGAGCAGGTAGCACAAATCGTCAGAACACTGGTTCTGTGATTAGTAGTAAATCTCCAGCACGTGCTTTCAGATGGAGCGCATTTACTACACAGAGCCGTAGATCACTGACAAGCAACCTGTGCCCTTCAGCCAGTAGGTAATATACAGAAATTGAATAAAGTTATAAAACACTAAATTCTAAATTAAATATAGATGAATCCTTAAAGCTACAAAAGTTATTGATTTCCTCATTTTTCTTTTGTTCTTTGATTAACAGACATCACAGCAACTGGGTTAATAGGTTATTTGGCTGCTATTACTTTAAGAGCTGCCGCTGCTGAACGTGACGCAGATCTGACATGCATGCTCGTAGTTTCAGTCGCGCTTTAATATGAAATGATACAGGCTACAGCGCGCGCTGCCGTATTTGTGCGTGCAACTGAAGAGCATGCACTATGAGCACAGTATAATGGCTGACAGGACAGGAAAATTAGTTTTTACTGACATATGGCCTGACAACATCTCATCTGACCGCCGTTTAATGTTCTACTGAAGCTCCTCGTCACCTGTACGATTTCTGCGCTCGTTTGAATAGCACCTGTCGCTGAGGTGAAGTTGGAGTGCGTGTCTGAAAAGTCTCCCATTTCATGTGGTCATAAAGGCATTCTGCGTCTAAATAAATGCAATTCTTATCAAGAAAAAAGAGACAGAAGCAGCAGTTGTGAGTAGGGTGGCCAAAGTCTAGCTCCGCCCCTGCGTTAACTGCATTAAATATTTTTTAACGCTGTTAAACTGGAAAAATTAATCGCCTGCGTTAATGCACTAATTTTGACAGCACTATTTAAAATGTAATTTATTCCTGTGATGCAAAGCTAAATGTTCAGCATCCATCATTACTCCAGTCTTCAGTGTCACATGATCCTTCAGAAATCATTCTAATATGCTGATTTGCTGTTTAAGAAACATTTCTTATGATGTTGAAAACAGTTGTGCTGCTTCATATTTTTGTGGAAACCATCATACATGTTTCAGGATTCTTTCGTAATTAAAAAGTTCAAAAGAAACTTGAACATTAGTGTCATAGTTGGACAGCAAAATGTCAACGGCTCTTGTTGACAGCAGAGTTTACATGGTCTTCATGGTCACCTCTTAACATATTAGAGCATCTGCTGGTGCTTTTTTCAAACTATTGAGCCTCTTGTACAGCTGTTAAATGCATATGAAGCATATGTGCCAAATAGGGCTGGGCAATATTGCAAAAAATTCAGTAAATAAGGAATAATAAATGTTTGTTTGTATGCACTAGTATAACACAGCATAATAAAGAAAAGCAATATTTACCAACTTGCATATATAATGGTTTTTACCAAAACATTGTAATACGTAAAAATGTGCATGGACGTTCCTCCATGTTGTGTTTTGAGTAATGCTGCAAATGAGTCTTTTGAATTAAAATAGACAGCTTGAAATTAACTACAAAAATTAAAATATCCGCTTAAAATTTTTCAAAGGTTTTTTTTTTTTTTTTTTCAAAACTTTGTTGTCTTGGATTAATAGTGACACTTAGTGGTGTGAATGTAGCATCGTACAAAAGTTTTCCATTAACAATTACAGATGTTCTATTCACACTCAGCCATGGCTTGTTTATTCCATGAGCAATTGTGTTCATAACAGGAGGGTTAAGTGAATGGTCATGTGATCTCAACATGGCAGCCCCAATAAGACGACCTGTTTCATGTCAGATAAAACTGCTTTTATTAGGCTACTGATATGACTGGAGTCTTTTTCTCATGTGAGTGTATGTGATTTTAAATTATTATTATAAATTGCTTTGAAAAAGTATTTTTCATTTCTTTAATTCTTAATTTTTTTTTTAATCTGGGTAAAAATTGCTGTGTGCACCTTTAACCACCAAATAAAGATCACAATAAATGAATTGCCTATATTTTATATATCGCCCCACTCTAGTTGCATAAGCTCTTTTGCTCAGCAAATGTCACCAATAATTTAATAAAATGTCTGAGAGATCAGAATATACACACAGGTGTAAACTCCATAACAGACCATGGCCCATTTTCATCTTGTCAACACTGCCCCTCATTACCCCGAACAGGAGAGCATTTATAACTGGTTCCTAACGCCCTTTCTTCCAGGTCATTGTCATGTCAGGACAGGAGACCATCCGTGTGCTGGAGGTGGAGGTGGATACAGCCTTGTCCTCTTCAGGGGCTGATGGGAATGTGGAGTCAGGGGGCGAGGAGGCTGCTGTTCAGAGCCTGGATGTAGCTGAGGAGGCTCCATTGGACAGTCCAGTAACCACAAGCACTACCACAGCTGGTGAGACTGAAACTTACTGATATAAATAGCCACATTAGTTTGGTATCATAGCAACCCAGTATTCAAAGCCACCACCATCAAAGAGGCATTTATTGTCATAATTGTATTAAATGCATGGCTTGAAAGAGACGCCACCATTGATTATGTTTCCTATGCATGGAAATATCAGGGCAATTTTTTTTAAAGGTTTCAGCAAATCTACCTCTCTTTGCATGTAGTGTCTGTGGAGGTCTCAGCACCTGCAGTACAGACCGTGGTCTCCAAAGCCCCCATAAGTGTGCCTCCGGCCCAGCCACAGACTAGCGTTCCCATCACTGTCCAGGCCTGCCCACAGGTGAACTCCAATTTCCTTTTTTGCCATTTAAAGGGGTCCTATTATGCTCTTTTACAAAGTCTTGATTTTGTTTTGGGGGTGTACTAGAACAGGCTCTCATACTAGGTTGTTCGAAAAACACATTATTTTTCACATATTTTACATTATTACAACACCTCTCTCCCCAGTCTGGCATGAACGGCTCGAATAGTTCCTGTATCAAATGAAGACCGCCTTCTGAAATACGAAATGTGCCATGATTGGTTAGCTGGGCCAGTGTGTGTTGTGATTGGCACCACTCGGTGCCTGGTCGGGAAATATCATACCCCTTACCATAGGCTGTGAGCTTCAGTGTAAATATTGTGTCAATATTAAATCAATTAGAACGCGATTAAACCCGGATGATTGTAACCACTCTAAGTTCGTCTGCCTTGGGAAAGCTAGCGTGCCTCCGACATAGTGATAACACTCGTTCCCTTCTCTAGTGCAGCTCAACCAGGTCTCATCCCATTCGTCGATATTTGTGATATATATCGAAAATATGCGTTGTAGTCCAAACGAGTCATTCGTTGTAGTTTTTGAAAAGTGATTTCTGTTAAATAAAATATCTCCTTATGAATTGGACTTTGAGCTTTGTAACTTTGCAGATCGTTTTTATGCTCAAACAGCAACATTACAGACTAACTAAAGTTGAAAAAGTGAAAAAGCATAATAGGACCCCTTTAAAATATTAGGGGCCACTTTCAGTGTCATTTTTGCCTCAAGCTCTTGATCATTTCTGACTCTGGTCTTCATATCTGAATGAACACAAGGATGTTCATATCATGACATTTCTAACTTTCTAAATGAACATTTACAAGTGATCCACTAAGCATTATGTAGTGCAAAAATGTTAATATAATAATAAATAAATACTGAAATAAATAATGATGTCTATGGTAGCAGTCAAAATGGAGCAAATCACCTTTTGAAAGCAATTTTCGCTTCAAATTGCCGCTTCAAATAATGTTTGTTGATTACAATATTGATAACATTGTTTTGCCACTAGGTGGCGACTTAGAGACTGTTAAATGTATTTGTGATTGAATCATTCATTCAAGAGATTTATTTAAAAATGCTGATTCATTCAGTAATGGAACAAGTGAAGTATTTATGATTGAGTCATTGAATCATTCAGTCAAACATTTTTTTTTTAATATTTTGTCACAGTCTCTAGTAAATTCCATGTTATTTTGCTTAGTTCAGAATCGTGAGAGAATCATGATCTCTATTTGATTATCATGATTCTCAGTTTATCCAGAATCGTGCAGCTCTAGTGAGGGGTACCTAGCTCTGTAAAGGTTAAAAACACCTGCTTTAAATTAATTAATTTATAATTTTGGTAACACTCCCAATTTAGCAAATAAGTGTTATTTTATTATTATTTATATACCATTATAGTATTTATTAATATTTATCCATCTTTACCTCTTAACTCTAGCACTCTCTATTATAATTCTATTCTTTAAAAAAAACTTGTCCCTTTTAGACTTGCACTCTACTAGGTAGTGTTACTACCTGCTTGTTTTCTTGAAAAAAAAAACTAACACTAGCTTCTCTAATCTTTTTGTATTCTATCTATTTGTTTTCTTTTTATTTATTATACAATTAACAAAAGCAAAAAAGGCCTCTAACACTAGCTTACTCTATTCTTTTTCTATTCTGTCTGTTGTCTTTTAAAAAAAACCTTGCTACGTGTATAGCGTTAAGCTAACTGAGACTTGTTATAGCACTTGCATATCATTGCTCTTTTGTTGATTTTGATTGCTTCCATTGCCCTCATTTGTAAGTCGCTTTGGATAAAAGCGTCTGCTAAATGACTAAATGTAAATGTAATATTTTAAATTAGCTATTATTTCATCAGTGTATATTGTGATTTTAGTTAAAGTTTTAGTTTTTTTTTATGTTTAATGCATTTTTATTAAGCTTTATTTTGTTTTTGTTTTAGTAATTTTAGTACTTCAGCTTAAAGGTCTTTGCACACTGAGTCCGAAATTCTCGTCCGAAGTTTTCACACATTAAAAAATATATACAACCTCACGTTGTGTCAATCATGTTTACACACTGCCTCTGAAACTTTCGTCCATCATAAAATAAATCGGATCAGGTTCAGTTTTCTGTATTTTCGCGTCCGTAGCAAGCATTTTGATAGGAAAGGATGATGAATACGAAAAAAACGTAAACACGCATCAGAAAATTTCGGACTCAGTATGCAAGGACCTTAAGGCTGAAATACACTTCATGACTTTTGTTCAGATTTTTTACTTTGATTCTAGTCTGAATGAGTCGACGCTTTTAGCATCAGCATCTTTTGTAACCATTTACAAAGTGGGCTAGTGTGTGATGCCTTGTTTAAAATGTAAATTACAGCCTTTAGACTTGTTTGTTTCAGTTAGTTGCAATGGTAAAAAAAATTTTTTTCCATCTAATGTTTGTTTAATATTATTTCAGTTTTTCTATTAACAAAACTGATTTATAACAGTTTTAAGTGACTATAACAACATTGGTGCAGAATGTCAGAAAAATACCTATAAATGTCAAAACAATTGAAAAACCTTTCTCAGAATAAATAAATCTATATGCCATTACCTTGCCAGGTCCTGACTCAGGATGGTTTGGCCTCTCTGATGACTGGCATGCTTGCCCAGCAGGGTTCTCTGGGTCAGCCCCTGCTCATACCTCTGAGTATGGCTGGATCTGTGGGGGGTCAGGGGGGTCTGGCAGTGCTCACCTGGCCCACCGCCACTGTCGCCACCCTCCCTGGTCTCGCTGCAGCCAGCCCTGCTGGAGGACTGCTGAAGCTGCCATTTGCAGGACTGCAAGGTATGGTGCTGAAGCAAATTTTGCATACTGATCCTGCGCAAAATTCTGATGCCATGGAATTAAATTTAAAATACATGGATTAAGGGCAGCATTTTATGTTTATATGAAATGGTGACTTGTTCAGGCCAGTCAGTAGTTCACAATAGTGAACATTTTAATGGTACAAGGTGTTTTACTGAGCAGACAATCTCAGAAAAACTATTTATTTTTGACTGTTACAATAGCTTGTTTTTCCTCTTCCAGCTGCTACTGTGTTGAACTCTCTCCAGACGCAGCTGCAGTCACCTGCGCAGGCAGTCCTGCAGCCCCAGGTGTCTGCTCTGCAGGCGGCTGTGCAGCCAACGCAGACCACACCAGCCACCACTGCGTCTGTTGTTCAGAAGGTGTCAGAGCCCAGTGCCTCGGTCGCAACACTTCAGACTGCAGGCCTGTCCATCAACCCTGCTATTGTGAGTAGGGAACACTTCTGTTGTGGATAGAAACATGTAATTGGGTTCAGTTGTATCATATATGTGGAAAATTGGATTTTGAAATGGAAATGTGCAATATATTGGGACGAAATGGGGTGCTAACCAATTTAAAAAATTTACTGGCTGGTATTGGATATTCAAGAGGCAGTTTCTTGAAGACTGCTTTCATATCAACAATTCATCTAAAAAATAGTTTTTGATTTTAGCATTTATTGAATTTTTTTGTGGACGAAATAGTATAGATTTTAACTTTTTATAGATTTTCACTATTTATATTAAACAACACACACCTTCAAGTAATTGATAGGTGAGTTGGAAAAAAGACCAAAAAAAGGTCCAACTTCAAAACAAAGCACATTTTGTTTATTTATTTAGTTAGTTAGTCAAAAGTTTTAGGGCCAGATTTACTAAATGGCAAATTAGTGTTAGAGAGCAATTGCATAAAAGCGCCGATGGGAGGGGAAAATTCTGTGTGATTTACTGACAGTGTGCACATTAAAGAACACAGACGCAGCCAGATCATTTCCATAATGACCAGCGCAATCTACCAAGAGCAGCACAAATTACCACCTGCTTTAAGACATGCTTTTTTGGGCGTTAAATAATTACGCAAATACCAGTAATTTGATGAGTGCAAACGTTAGTAAACCGCGTTGCGTGATTCATTTTAATACTCTCCTCCCATAAATTTTGCGTCTGAAAGGGAAACTCCTACAAATGTATATAAAAATAACTCCACGCCTTTTCAGCGCTAATTCTTCACTGCGCGTCTTTAGTAAATCCTGACAGTACTATTTTAACACCAAAAGATGGTTTACGCTGGCTCAAGCTGTTAGTAAATCTGGCCCTTAGTATTCCAGGGCTTGATTACTTACAATTATGTTCGAATATTTCTGTTAAGATTTGTATAAATCTTATTTCTAAGAAGATTGACTATAGTTTCTAATAGACAATAATAATAATAATAATAATATTAATTGTTGTTGAGTAGTTTTTGTTATTCGTTATTCATTTATTTATTGTTTTATAGTTTTTTAGATTATATATAAGAAGAAGAGAAAAGAAAGAAACAAGGAAAGAGAAATATTTCATAAATCATATGCACACTAGATAGAAAGTTTATGGAAATATTCTAAAATCTTAAACTTAAGCTCATCTAAAACACTCTCTTGCTGCTTTACAAGTAATGGCATTTTCTTTCAGGAAATGCATCTAGTCTTAAATTACTAAAGATAATTTCATAATGAATTCAGTCTAATCTAATCAGGAGTGTTTTTCCCCCTTCAGATTAGTGCAGCTTCTCTGGTAGCTCAGCCTCAGTTCATCAGCTCTCTCACTACAACTCCCATCATCACCAGTGCCATGTCTAATGTGGCAGGACTCACGGGTCAACTCATTACCAATGCACAGGGCCAGGTTAGTATTACATTTAAATATATTTGTTCATTTAATAGACACATTGTTCCTAAGGGAAAGCCTTCTCACACAATTTTTACATATCAGTCTCATCATTTTCATACCTGTGTTTCAGGTAATTGGAACACTTCCCCTGCTGGTCAACCCTGCATCACTGGCTGGAGCTGCAGCAGCCTCTGCGTTACCTGCTCAAGGTCTGCAGCTCCAGACTGTGTGCCCACAGCTGTTCCTCAACTCCCAGGGCCAGATCATTGCTACAATAGGAAACGGTCCAACAGCTGCTGCCCCGTCCGCCGCCTCCGTCCTCCCCAAAGCCACTGTGCCCCTGACACTCACCAAGACCAGCACACCGGTACTGAAGTGCCGCCCACTGTGGCTCTTCATTAGTCTGTAAACACACAATAAACATTTTGTGCAGTCTGTGCACCATTTTTGTACTTTTTTAAGGATAAATATATCTTTCTTTTGTATGCATAGCACCCAAGAAGACCTTAGCAACTGCTTGGCATCCATCTAACAATGCTCTATCATCCATTTAAAATGCCAACGTAGGATCATTGTAAAATGTGTTTCCAAAAATGTATCCATACATACAATTAACCACAGTTTCTACCTGAAATGAACACAAGTGGCATTAAAATACCAACAACTTCCATTATGATTACAAAGCCATATTACTGATTAATAATGACTTATTTTCCCACTTTTTAACACCACTCAGCAGACGTTTCATTTCTGAAATGGCATGATAAATACAACAAGCAGTGTAATAAAATGTTGAATTCATGTTCATCGGTTTCAGATAAAACTGAACAAGCTTTTAACGCCACTCACAGAATGTGAAATATTTCTGAAATGATTGTCATATTTGGTAATGGACTGTGAGTCGTTCTCTAGGGTCCTGTTGGGAAAGTGGCGCCATCTAAAGTCATTATTGCTCCCCAGCCGCAAGTGGTTAAATCAGTCACATCCCTCACCTCTACCGGTGCCATCGCCTGTGGAGACATGCCTACAGTGGGGCAGCTTGTCAGCAGTAGGTTTATGTTTTTCTAGTACTTTACTGTTTATGCAATGTAAATGCAATACTGCAAACAACCTTCTTCAGTCACGTAATTGAATAGGAGCAATTCTGTAAGGTGCGTTTAGATCAGGTTTCAGTTTTGAAGATTGATGCTTCAGTGACTTGTGGGTAAATTACTCATGTTGTTTATGATCTGGAGAGAATCCAAAGTCCTAATTCAATTTTTGTTTTCATTAAGAACCACAGTCTGCTGTGAATGAAGAAGAGGCCATTAATCTGGAGGAGATCCGAGAGTTTGCCAAGAATTTTAAGATTAGACGGCTCTCTCTGGGGTTAACACAGACTCAAGTGGGTCAGGCTCTCACCGCTATGGAGGGTCCCGCCTACAGTCAGTCAGCCATCTGCAGGTTATTCTCTTTTCTATCATTTCTTTGTTTCTGTCTTTCTTTTCTAGTCTTAACGGGACTGATTGGACCACTCCCACTCCATTTAGGTTGTGTAAATTGTGCCATTAAAGAAAGAAAAAAGTTACTAGTGACACAAGGCTCTTCTTTGTATACAGCATTTTTGTCATGAAGCATAGATTATACAAAGCTTATTTATTAGGGGTGTAACAGTAAGCAAGAATTGATGGTTTAGTGCATACTGTGGTTTTGAAGTCACGGTCCTGTACTTTTTTGGTAGTGTGAGGTGGGGGGAGGGGGGCATACATCTCTGAACAGTCAACAAATTGTGGCTTTAAAATATATTGTCTTTAAATATAATTAGAATTAAATTTCTCAACTAATGTTGTAAACTATATAGGGAACCCTATTACAGGTGCATCTCAATAAATTAGAATGTCGTGGAAAAGTTCATTTATTTCAGTAATTCAACTCAAATTGTGAAACTCGTGTATTAAATAAATTCAGTGCACACAGACTGAAGTACTTTAAGTCTTTGGTTCTTTTAATTGTGATGATTTTGGCTCACATTTAACAAAAACCCACCAACTCACTATCTCAACAAATTAGAATACTCCATAAGACCAATAAAAAAAAATTTTTTAGTGAATTGTTGGCCTTCTGAAAAGTATTTATTGAGATGCACCTGTATATATCAACCATCCATGTCCATTTAATGTCTTACATACACATATTACACTCCATTATCTTGTGTTCCTCTTGTTTCAAGATTTGAGAAGCTTGACATCACTCCTAAAAGTGCCCAGAAGTTGAAACCTGTGCTGGAGCGCTGGCTGGCAGAGGCTGAGCTCTGGAATCAGAAAGGTCAGCAGAACTTGATGGAGTTTGTGGGCGGAGAGCCCTCCAAGAAGCGCAAGAGGAGAACCAGCTTCACACCGCAGGCCATCGAGGTCCTCAACACTTACTTTGAGAAAAACTCCCTTCCCACTGGCCAAGAGATTACAGAGATTGCCAAGGAGCTGAACTACGACCGAGAGGTGGTTCGGGTCTGGTTTTGTAACCGTCGACAGACTCTGAAAAACACTAGCAAGATCAGCTTGTTTCAGGTCCAGTAGAGCTATGGTACGTCTCTTAGAGTGCAACAGAAAAACTTTTTGGACCTTGATGTATTGGTGCTAGTTGCGAAATGACTGACTCGCTGTTGTGATGAAGCCAGTGGCACTCAAATTGTGTACGGTCCTAAATATTACCAAACATATTCTTTCTGTTGGTTTTTTGTTTCCGTTATGCTGCATGCAGAGTGACTTTTTGCCATGCCACCACAATTTCCAATGCTAAAATGGCTTCTGAACTATTTAAAATATGGAAGAAGCTACGAAATCCAGTAGTTGCTGTTTTTATAGATGAAAAGAAGCACTTCATTAACACATAAAAAGGAAAACGTCTAAAATATTCTCCCTCATCTAGTGTTTTTTTTTTTTTTTTTTTTGCACAACTAAAGTTGACCGTTAAAAATTGCTTTTTGCTGTAGCAATAACAGCTATGGCTTTTGACTACATATAGTACATTTAGAAGGTTTTTTAATCATTTTTTAGTTCAGTTTCCATGAGTGAAGTGGTTCCCCGTCTTTGTGCTTAAATACTGTAGATGTGTTTTGGTCAATGGACAATCATAGTACTCTGAATCAGAAAGCATGCCCTGCTTTTATGTGGCTAAATCCAATTATTCCATTTCGGCTGTCATCGTAATTTCATATTCAGAATTGTATGATTTCAACTGTTACGTCTATCTGTTGATTCAAATAGGAAACGGTAACTGTATCAGAGATTACAATGACTGATGTAGAATATGTCCTATGGATTTTACTGTTACTGTTTTTGCCATAATCAGTTTAGTAAAGCAGATCTTAATATCAGGAGATGCTATTGAAGAGAGACTTGCATCTATATCTATATGGGGCACTTAAGAAACATTTGCTGAACAGCTGAACGTTTGTTTTAATGTTGATCGATGAGCCGTCAAACAAGTGTTAAAGGATATTACTAATATAAAGGCAGTTCTTCATTTATGAATTTGGATTGTGCTCTCATTTGTATTCTGTCGCAGCAATATTCACAGGTCATATGAACATTTCCCCATCTAGTAAAACAGCCCAGACAGAAGTGTGTTGTAACATGTTTCACATGTTTGTTCTAAGCATAAAGCTATATTGTTCTTATGGACCTTCAGTATTTATCTAATGGATTATCTTGATTGGTACAATACCATACATTTACATTTTAATGTTGTGAAGAAGGAACGATATTAGACATAGTGTTTTAACTAATGGTATACATGGACTAAACATGAAAAAGCAGCATCTGTTCAACAGTTTAATCTGCACAGAGCTTATTGATTTTAAAATGGGGCATAAATGCATTTACAGATTATAAACAATTGTATGGTACTCCATTAACTATATTTATTTTGTATCAATTGTAATGTTTGGTATGAACTTGTTATTTGAATAAATTAACACTAAACACACTTGTTGTATTTGACTTGAAAATCTTGGTAAGTACCATTTGACATCTTTCCGGTCATGATTATATTCATTATACTCGGACTACAAAGAAAGTTAACAAATTAATTCTCAGAACACATAAGTAACCTGTAGACATCAAAGTATGTGGATGAAGTTAATTTTAAATGACTGACAACTTGAAGGTAATATGTCACAAGGAATGTTTTGTAGGCCTTAGGTTTTGGGTCTTTAGTTTTACTATTGCGACAATATAGCAGGGCCTTTACCACCATAATACTACTATCAAAAAAACAATGTGGTTTTTTTTCAAAATCAAATCATGCTAAATGTTTTTTTCTACATGTGTTCAAAATTATTTTTCCTAACAAATATCATAGAAAGCATGATGGTAATGAGGAGCAATCCATGGTTTTTCATGGTTTCTCTGGTCTTAAAATAGCATTGATAAACCTATTGTTACTATGCAAGAAATAAAATTGCCATTGCCATGGTAACTATATTTTTCACCAAATTACCAATGCATTTATAGCCTTCCCTGAAATCATAATACATATGATATCTTTAAACAGTGTAAAAAGCTTTCAAAATTTTTTAGTTGTTTTATTTTTTAATTTATCTATTTGAAAAGAGCAGCGACTAATGTCAAGTGACAGTTTTATTGTTGCAACAGCTGTGGTATTTTAGCAGAATTTATAGTGACGCCAAACATTTGGGCACTTTTTTGAGAAGTGAATTTGATTAGTTTAGTGATTTTTAGTGAATGTATAAAGTCCATCCGAAATTCACACAGGGGTCCTAGCAGAGCAAATACAGGTTATAGTAATGACTATAAAGTGTCTTAATAATTAATCTTTATTTTGAATCTGCATCTATTGATTTATAATTAATTTAAAAATCTAAGGGTTTCCACTACAAATACCATTACCAACATCACAAACCATCAACTATGAACTATTACAAATAAATTAATTAATAATAATAATAATGTGGTTTCCTGAATATGTAGTGTGTTTTGGGACATATTCTGTTATGATTTAGCTACCAATAAAAGCAACAAATTACCAGTAGAGAGACCCACAGGGTCCATTACAGTTTCCATTTAAACCAATACAATTCCCATTATAACCAGTAAAACCATTACAAATTCAGTTATATTGTTTATTTATTATTTGTTATGAAATTATTAATTATTTTCTTCAAAGTTCTTAAAAGTTAAGTTTAAAAAGTTGTATGGCTCAGGCGTAGAAATAATTTTTAGCGCCGCTGTTCCATCTCTGGCTGTTTGTTGTCATGGGGGAAAAAGGCAATTCACCTCCATAGCGATTGGGGCCGCTAGTACACTCGAGCCGCTCACTGTTCCAGCCGTTAGTGAGGAAGGCTACTGCGGATATTACGGCAATTTCTACAGAAGAGATAAACAAACATGTAATATTATACGCAAGACATTTTTCAATCAAAATCCAACCTATCTTCATCCTATAAATGTTCTTCGAATTTTTCGCAGCGTCGTCACTTTTTACAGCGACCGGTGAAAGAAATCAATCTTCTTTCGAGCAAAACGAAGTTTTCTTGCCAAAAGAAGGACGATGGGTGGAAAAATGGCGTGAAACGATGAGCTTTACCGCATTCTTTATCTGACTGCTGTCAGAGGTAATTTACACTCTTATTATGCAATTTATGATAAAACAAACACTTTATTTTAAACGATATCTGTTAAGTTTTTGCCCCCATTTGACTTATGTAATGTAATAAATGTGTTTGTAATGTGTAGGTCTGTATTTTGAGGATTTGTGATGCAATTTTCTGTCTTTAACATCATATTTAATCTAGTAATAATAATACTTAAGGTCTTTCTTAAATTGGAAAACTATAAACGTATTTTCCAGTTCACAATTAATATTGTATGTAACTAATCCATGTTTTCCCCTCTTTTTTTAGACAGGTGTCTGTGATCATCCCTAAACCCAAAAGGGAGACTGTCAGGACTGTGATTCATTTGCTCCTAAGTTCACTTGAATTAGACGTCTAAAGTCATGGCTTGGGCTCTGAAACTACCTCTGGCCGATGAGGTGATTGAGTCTGGTCTGGTCCAGGACTTTGATGCCAGTCTGTCAGGGATCGGGCAAGAGCTTGGAGCTGGTGCTTACAGCATGAGGTCAGTTTGTGTACTAACTTATTCTCTTTTTTTGTTTAGGGATGTTTAGCTCATTTCAGATCATTGGTGTGTTCGGAGACCTGTGGTGCTCGATAAATGTCATCTTTGGTTGAATTGTAGCTCTTTAAAGTACTGTATGTTCGGGTGATTTGCGTTTTTGCCTTATTGAGGAGTGTTGTTTAATCTGTTTTGCATACTTACTATGTCAAAGCCAACTTCTTCTGCTGGGCTGTTTAGAATGTCATGATGAATGTGTTTTGGCACGTTTAGTGTCTGACCTTCCAGAGAGGCACACTCTGTGTCTTGTATTCCCTTACATAACTGTTGTGCAGAAAATTAAGCATTTAGAAAAGTATAGGTCTGTTTGTGCCGATGCTATCGTGTGTAGGCTTCGATTAAGTGTTTTATTCCATATTTAGGGTTTCAAGTGGTTTGTAAACATGTTTTAATTTACTGACAAATTGAAGTTCTGTATGACATGACTGCAGTGCAGTCTGCATACAATATTTTGTTCTGCTAGTTTATAAAACAAAAATCTTTGATTTTAAATGGTTCAAGTAAAATGCATTCCCATGTTGATAGGCAGATAGAGTCACTCTGTCTAGCCTCATCAGTTGGTCTCCAGGGAACAAAATAGTTGTGTGTTATAAACCACATGTTCCAGTCCTGCTTTGCCATCTGTGATGATTTGTTCCCAGATGTTTGAGTAGCATTAGAAATGTCCCTGTATGGGAAACCAAAAATTTTAAAAATCTATAATTTTTCACTTTTTTCTTTCTCTTGTTGTTTTGCAGTGATGTGCTAGCTCTCCCCATCTTTAAACAGGAGGAGTCTAATTTACCTCCGGAGAGTGACGATAAGATTCTTCCCTTCCAGTATGTACTGTGTGCCGCCACCTCTCCTGCTGTCAAACTACATGATGAGACGCTCACCTACCTCAATCAAGGTCTGTTCAGCAACACTGGCTGAAGAACATCTGAACTTTCCTTAGCTTTATATTAAATGTCAATATAAATCTATTACACTGAAAAAAATGGTATAGAAACAATTTTTCAGGCTGGAATTGCTTGAAAATTTCTCAAACAATTACAAAGGAATAGCAAGTTACACATTGAACTACACATGAAACTTTAAAAGTATACAAACTGAAATAGTATTTTCTTGTAAAACGTGCTCCATTTAATCTTTGTTTTATTTATAACTTTGAAAAATCTTCTTTTTTTTTTACAGTGTAATACACAAACATACATTATTCATGAAGTTTAAACGGTTTGTGCTTCTGAGGACTTAGAAAATACACTACTGTATAAAAGTTTAAGGTCAGTGCATTAATTAATTAATTAATTTATTTGTTTATTACAAATAAATTATTTTGTTCAGCAAGGATGCATATTAAATTGATCAAAACTGACAGTGAAGACATCTATAATGTTCCAAAAGACTTCTATTT